GATATGCCACGTTTGACAGCCATCGAGAGAGAGAGAGCCGTTGGAATGGTCCAACAAGGAGCGACACACGTCGACGTCGCCAGAAGGTTGGACTGCGCACGCCTCACTATCACCAGGTTGATGCAGCGGTTACGTCAGACAGGTCAGACGTCAGACAGGCCCAGGAGTGGAAGACCACGAGTAACCACGCCCCGTGAAGATCGTTACATCCGGGTATTACACCTGAGGAACCGCACCGTAACAGCGACGTCCACGGCGGCTACAGCACTGGGACACAGGATCAGTCGACAGACCGTCTACAGGAGACTACGGCAGTATGGTATCCGGCCACGTCATCCCTACCGCGGACCGCTCCTGACGCCTCGACACCGGAACAACAGACTGATCTGGACCAGGCGAGTTCGACGTTGGCAACGGCGGGACTGGGCACGTGTTATGTTCTCTGATGAGAGCAGATTCCTCATCTTCAAAAACGATGGACGGCAGCTTGTATACCGACGATTTGGTGAACGTTTGGCGCTTAACTGTATCCAACAGGTCCGGTCGTTTGGAAGCGGAGGGTTAATGGTTTGGGGTGGCATATGTGGTGACGTCAAAACGAGGCTTGTCGTAATTCGTGGAAACCTGAATGCACAGCGTTATATTGATGACATCCTACGGCCTGTTGTGGTGCCCTTTATTCAGCAACAGCCTCGTGGACTCCTTTTCCAACATGACAATGCAAGGCCACACACAGCAAGATTGACACAGAACTTCCTTGCCAACGCCAAAGTACAGGTTTTGCCATGGTCCGCATGTTCACCGGACATGAATCCCATCGAGCACTTATGGGACCACCTCGATCGGCAAATCCGACGTCGCCGTGTGCCTCCAGTCAACGTCCAGGACTTGGAACGATGTCTCCTCGAGGAATGGCAACGAATCACTCCCAACGTCATTATACGTTTGACGGCATCAGTCCGTAGGCGTGTTCTGGCATGTATTGATGCTCACGGTGGACATACCCGCTACTGACTTGACTTTGTGACGTGTGGTGTGACATTTCCCGTTGTTTCTGTGATCACTGCTCTAACGAAATGTTCTTTTTTCGACCCCACCCATCTTTAAAGGCTTGTCATATTGGTTGTACAGATTTTATTGAAATGAAATTTTTGTACAGATGTTGTGAAAGGATTTTTCAAAAGCATAATACCAATCCTAAACTTCTGCATTGTTTAGTTTTTCTTTTATGTCGTTGCAAACAGGTGGTATCGTTTCTTTTGGACACTAGTTTATATGATAGTGTAATTCCACATGAAAATTGTTGACTGAATTTTTTTTTTTAAATTATTATACACAGTGAAATAAGCATTATCTTAATTTTTTTTTTTAAATCCCAACTGGAGTTAAAATTTGAAAAGAGGAGACCAGGTAGTCTGATAAGGAAGGGGGGAATCTCTATTACATTTTTAATAAATTGTTAAACCACTCTGAATGCCTCCCCTACCTCCATCTCCCCACTAAGGGAGGAGACGAACGGTCATCAATGGTTAATAACTCCATCTGATCTGATAGAGTCACAAAACCCGCTTCACGCTCAGAAGGGGAGGCTTTGTATCATCCTCATGGTTTACGATCCAGTCAAAATTGACTGACGTCCAAGCGATGCATACTTTAGAAATGATCCCTAACAGTATGATCTTAATGATAATTATGTTTGACAAAGATAATGATATATTTCATAAATAATATACACTGGTTATTATTAATTCCTACTAAAACTTAAACCTTAAAGATAATTATTTTTTAAACTTTAGCTATTTTTAGAATAATTTCATAACAAATATAGCTTGAAGATATTGTTTAGACTGAAAATTATCATAAAACACAAAATAAAGAAAAATATTATGATAACAGTAAAAATAGCAGAAAATCTTCAAAAACTTGGAAAATAACAGTAAAAGGGAAGTAACTCCACCGTCAATCAAAGAAAATCAAACTGAATGAGATGAGAGATTCAACAATTGAAAAATCAAAGTGAACACATCAACAAGATGAGAGATTCAACATCTGAAAAAATGTCAGTTTCTACTCTCTAAATTATGGGTTTTTGAATTGAGAAAAGACATAAATCATTTTGGCAAAATATAGACAGTTACATGATCGTGTAATTCCACATGAAAATTGTTGACTGAATTTTTTAAAAGAAATTATTATACACAGGGGAAAAGGCAATATCTTAATCTTTTTGTAATCTCAACCTGAGATTAAATTTGAAAAGTGGAGACCAGGCAGTCTGATGAGGAATGGGGGAAATATATATTACTTTTTAAATTAATTGTTAAACCACTCTGAATGCCTCCCCTACCTCCATCTCCCCACTAAGGGAGGAGAGGAACGGTCATCAATGGTTTAGAACTCCATCTGATCTGATAGAGTCACAAAACCCGCTTCACGCTCAGAAGGGGAGGCTTTGTATCATCCTCATGGTTTACGATCCAGTCAAAATTGACTGACGTCCAAGCGATGCATACTTTAGAAATGATCCCTAACAGTATGATCTTAATGACAATTGCTCTACAATATGATAATGAAAGTTTTCATAAGTAAAAAAGAATGGTCATTTACTAATATAAAACTCAGTTCTGAGATAATTGTTATTAAATTAGCTTGATTTTGTTTCAAATATACAAAATTTTCACCAATAAAAATAGATTATTATCTAAATAATAAAAATGTGCATAAAACTCATAAAAAATTGATAATAGCAAAAATATTAGAAAAGCCATGAATTTACACCAATATACACAAGAGGTATACAAGGGAAATAACACAGACTGTGTACATTGTACCACGTGTCATGTTGACACGTTACTATAAATAGACTACTTAGTTTACAGTATACTGTAGTTTATATAGTATAGTTAAAGTCTTATCAGCTGGCCATTCACAGTAATACAACTAAGACGAATACATCATTGACCACATAACATAGAGTTGAAAAGTTTTCTTTGTTAGTGTATTGTAAAACACTCCTCTGTATCCTTTCATACACTGTACGTAACCTCAGCAAGGCATTAAAACATTAAAACTATCAGACATTAAGGCAATATGTGTCCCAATCATTTACAAAGCTTGGTATGAATTTCAGTAAAATACATACAACTTAATATTTTACCCTTTAATCAATTTCAATATAAAACTATATAATAAAAAAATATGAATGCATAAACAGTCATATTAACATAGTATGAGCCGAGAAAATTAACCCTCCATTGATTGCAACATATGATTAACTTCCCATAAAAACATCTTTTTTGAACATGATAAATTATAAAACTTGGTATGAATTTCATTTTTAAACTGAAAACATTCTCTTTGAACATTATGAATTGAGATGTAAGTTATAAAACTATGTATGAATTTAATTTAAAAACTTAAATCATTCTCTTTGCACATGATATATTGGGATCTAACTAATAAAAACTTGGTATGAATTTCATAAAACGATCTGAAAACATCTTCATGTAACTTATAAAACTGAGTATGAATTTCATAAGGACACTGAAAACATCCTCTTTAAACATGATAAATTGGGATCTAAGTTATAAAACTAAGTATGAATTTCATTAGGACACTGAAAACATCCCCTTTGAATATATGATAAATTTGGATCTAACTTAGAAAACTGAGTATGAATTTCATTAGGACACTGAAATCATCCTCTTTAAACATGATAAATTGGGATTTAAGTTATAAAACTAAGTATGAATTTCATAAGGACACTGAAAACATCCCCTTTGAATATATGATAAATTGGGATCTAAGTTATAAAACTGAGTATGAATTTCATTAGGACACTGAAATCATCCTCTTTAAACATGATAAATTGGGATCTAAGTTATAAAACTAAGTATGAATTTCATAAGGACACTGAAAACATCCTCTTTAAACATGATAAATTGGGATCTAAGTTATAAAACTGAGTATGAATTTCATTAGGACACTGAAATCATCCTCTTTAAACATGATAAATTGGGATCTAAGTTATAAAACTAAGTATGAATTTCATAAGGACACTGAAAACATCCTCTTTAAACATGATAAATTGGGATCTAAGTTATAAAACTAAGTATGAATTTCATTAGGACACTGAAAACATCCCCTTTGAATATATGATAAATTTGGATCTAACTTAGAAAACTGAGTATGAATTTCATTAGGACACTGAAATCATCCTCTTTAAACATGATAAATTGGGATCTAAGTTATAAAACTAAGTATGAATTTCATTCAACATCTAAAAACATACTGTTTGAACTTATGATCATATCAATTTGGATAAATATTAGGGGGAAAATAAAGGTGTGTACATCTATACCAATATCTCTCTTTTTACAACATGTATTGTTAAGAGGTTAATTCAAAATACCTGACCCGTAACTTATTTTAGTGGCAGGTCATTGATTCCAGAAGCGAAGTGACTTCATTTAATACTTAATGCTGATAATAGTTGATAACTCAATGGAACTCAATACTGCGATAAGACACATTGAACAGTAGTTGGCAATAGACAATTG